GATTGTACTCTGACCTGTGCATGTGTGCTATGACGTTTGTGCCTGTCTCAAAAAGACCAATAAATAAATAAATAATAAATAAATAAATAAAATATTCTGAGGCTGGAAAGATGGCTCAGAGGTTAAGAACACTGGTTGTTCTTACAGAAGACCTGGGTTTGAATTCCAGCACCCACATGGCAGCTAAAAACTGTCCATAACTCCAGTTCTAGGGGATCCAACAGCCTCTTCTGTCCTCAGCAGGCATTGGACAATATGGATGCACATGGGTGCACATACCTACATGAAGGCAATACACGCGTACACATAAAAATAAATAAATGTTTTTTTAAAAAGACCATTTACAAGGGTTCCAACACCCTCTTCTGTCCTCTGTGAGCATTGCACAACACAGGTGCACTTATATCAATACAGGCATATACATAAAATAAAAATAATAAATAAAATATTTTTAAAAATAGCCGGGCGTGGTGGCACACGCCTTTAATCCCAGAACTTGGGAGGCAGAGGCAGGTGGATCTCTGTGAGTTCAAGGCCAGCCTGGTCTACATAGTGAGTTCCAGGACAGCTGGAGCTACAGGGAGACCCTGTCTCAAAAAGACCAAAATAAATAAATAAATAAATAACTTTTAAAAATTAAAAGAAAAAGAAACTCAAGAACAACTTAAAGAAATTCCAGGAAAGATCATAAAGACAGCATTTGAAGGAACAGCAAACATGAAACATGGGGCAAAAGAATCATTTGTACTACGGGGGTGCGCCTTTAATCACAGCCCTCAGGAGGCAGAGGCAGGTGGATCTCTTTGAAATCAAGGCCATCCTGGTTCACATTGAGACTTCCAGGCGGGCTGTGACTAGGGAGACCCTGTCAAAAAACAATCGACAACAATATCAACAAAAGAATCATTTGCATTATGGAACAGATTCATGTCTCTGGGTCTTTTTATGGCCCTTTACCTATTTCTTATATCTGGTGTATATCCACTGGATTCCCCTTACCACTCTCCGAAGGCTCATAGCGGTCAATGAATTCCAAAGCAAGGTCAGGAGCATGGTCTCTTTCTTTCTGTTCCTCTCTAAGGAAATCCACAAATTCCAGCAGAGTCAGCTTTTGCCCATCAGATGAAAAGTTTTCAAATAGTTCCTCAACCTCAGTACGCTTAGTCAATGCCTTATAGAAATTCACAAATTCTTCTGCTTCCAGAGTATCAGACTGGGACACATCTGCTGCCTGCAAGAGAAGAGTTGGCAGGAAGCGGATCAATAATGGGAAGTTTTACGATCTTCATTTGTCCTATAACGGTAATCATGTGTGTTCCTACGTGTGCCGATCCATGTGCATATATGTACATGGAGGGCAGAGGTCAATTTCAGGTATTGTTCCTCAGGAGCTGTCCATTTTGGATTGTTGTTGTTGCTGTTGTGTTGTTGAGACAGGGTCTTTCACTAAGACCTGGGACTCCTCACTAGGACCTGGGACTTCATGATTAAGCTAGGCTATCCAAACATTAAGCTTCAGAAATGCGCCTGTCTCTGTCTTCCCAGCCCTGGGATTATAAGCACGCCTCACCACGCCTGGCTTTTAGGATAGGTGTTGGGATATATAACTCCAGTTTTTGTTTTTGTTTTCTTTTTTTGGTCTTTTTGAAACAGGGTTTCCCTGTAGCCTCAGCTGGCCTGGAGCTGGCTATGTAGACCAGGCTGGCCTTGAACTCACAGAGATCTGCCTGCCTCTGCCTCCCAAGTGCGGGGATTAAAGGCATGCGCCACCATGCCCAGCTATAACTCCAGTTCTTATGTTTGCATAGCAAGCACTTTACCAACTAGTCATCTGCTTAGACTCTTTAAGGACAATCTTAGCATGCTTCTATAAAACTCCCACAGAGCTCCTAATATTTCATATGCATAGAAGCCACACCAATACAGAAAAATTTTTACGTCCATCATTTTCTATTTCAAAGGTCTCTCTAAAGTCAGAAGAGAGCTGGGCACAGTGCCATATGCCTTTAATCCCAGCTTGAAAGGTGGAGGTAGGAGGATCAGAAGTTCATGTTCATCCTCAGCTATAGAGTGCATTTGAGGCCAGTTTGGGCTACATCAGACACTGTCTCAAAAAAACACAAACAAACAACAAAACTACCTCCACCTATTTACTCAGAGTCCAGATGGAATTTTATAGCAGGCACTCATGAAATTCTGACCATAAGAAAGGGTCCAATATACTACGTCATTTCCCTTTCATAGGATTACAACTCATCTTTCCAACAAGACTGAATGCCAAGAATCATTCCCGACACTTCCCACTGAGGTTATTATGGTGATGGGATACACATTAAAGTTTCAACAAATGTATGCTGCAGAGTGGGGTTAGAGGTTTTCTAGCCAAGTGAAAACATGGCCTGGCTGGCTCCTGCAAATCCTCCCTGGCAGACATACCTGAAAAAGATTGAGGATATAGTCTTCATTCATTTCCACATTCATCAGATGTAGCAACCGTTGAGCTTCTTGGAAATTCATCCGACCATCCTCATTTCTGTCTCCACGGTGGAACCAATCATTCACCCATCCAGGTCTGAGTCAAGGCAAAGGCACTGTGTATGTAGTTTTACGAGTGTTCATTCATTGACTCCTCTCCTATCTTTGCTGCCAGTCTCTCTCCCATGTCAATCCATTCTCCACATAGATTCTAGAACAATGTGCCCCGAGCATCAATGTATCTTGTCACTGCATGGCTCAAGTACCTTTTAGGGACCCACCTCCTGTTGTCTACAAAAAGAAACCCGAACTCTAACATAAAAGTTAAGATCCCCAGGACTGGAGAGATGACTCAGCGGTTAAGAACTCTAGTCCCAGGGGATCCGACAGCCTCTTCTGACCTCGTGGGCATTGCACCACATGGGTGCACTTACCTACATGTAGGCAATACACGCATACACATAATATAAAAAAAATTGTCGGGCATGGTGATGCATGCCTTTAATCCCAGCACTCAGGAGGCAGAGGCAGGTGGATCCTCTGTGAGTTGGAGGCCAGCCTGGTCTACAGAGTGAGTTCCAGGCAGCTGGAGCTACAGGGAGACCCTGTCTCAAAAAGACCAAAAAAAAAAGTTAAGATCCCCTTCACCCTTGTGACCTGGCCCAGCCCAGCCCTCTCAAAGAATCTGTCTTTGTACCATTGCCAGGCTCAGCAATGCCTTCCTCTGAGCAGCCCCCACTTCCTTCAGTCTCCTTTCTCTGAACCTTTCTTCTTGCTATTCTCTCAGTCAGGAGTGCCTTTCCTTCCCCCTCTCTTCAGGTTTAAATTGTACCGATGTCTTCTGTCCATCCTTCCTTCCTTCCTTCCTTTCTTTGCTTTCTTTTTTTTTTTTTTTTAAAGACAGGGTCTTATGTAACCCAGGCTGGCCTCAAACCTGCTATATAGCTGAAGATGCCTCTTACCTTCTGATCCTCTTGCCTCCACCTTCTGAGTGTTGGGATTACAGGCATTCACCACCATGCCCAGTTTATGTACTAAGTTGTTTCTGTCAGGTGTTGTCCTAGCAATGCAAAGTAACTAATAGCATTCTACTAGAAGCAGTGAACACATACGCATATCTATGAACAGCATAATTTCAGGAAATGATAGTGCTGTGAATAGTAAGGATAATGTGACTAAAGTAATATATATATATATATATATATATATATATGCCTTATTAATCTTGGTGCCCCTAAAACTAGGCATACCATCTGCCTAATAGATGGTGACTGAATGAATACAAGTATGAAATGATGGACAACTTTTTTTACATTTATTTATTGTGTGGGAGAGGGCACATGCATGGCATGTGTGGAGGATAGAGGACAACTTGCAAGAGTCAGTTCTCTCCTTCCATTATGTGGGTTCTGGGCATCAAACTCAGGTTGTCAGGCTTGGAGGCAACAAACTTTACGAACTAAGCCATCTCACTGGCTCCAATCTAGGAATGTGTGTGTGTGTGTGTGTGTGTGTGTGTGTGTGTGTGTGTGTACTTCTGAGACAGCATCTCCTTGTAGCCACAACTGCCCTGGAACTCGCTATGTGGACCAGGCTGGCCTTGATCTCACAGAGATCCGCCTGCCTCTGCCTCCCAAATGCTGGGATTAAAGGCAAGTGCCACCACGTCATTTTTTGGTCTTTTTGAGACAGGTTCTCCCTGTAGCCCCAACTGGCCTGGAACTCACTATGTAGACCAGGTTGGCCTTGAACTCACTATGTAGACCAGGCTGGCCTCGAACTCACAGAGATCTGCCTGCCTCTGTGTCCCAAGTGCTGGGACTAAAAGTGGGACTAAAGGTGTATGCCACCATGCCTGGCAGCGGACAACTTTTGTGAGTCAGTTCTCTCCTTCCATCATGTAAGTTCCAGGGGATTGAACTCAGGTCATCAGGCTTGGCAGCAAGCACCTTCACCATCTGAATCATTGATTCAGATGGTGAAGGTGCTTGCTGCCAATCTAGGAATCTTGAAGTGAGTCTCTATCACTGACCCCTCTGAAAAGTGGCTTCCCACTCTTATGATAGTTAATGCTACTGGGATCTTCTGCTCAGTTCACAGGAGTAGCATCTCTTCTGCCTCTCACTGGCCCTTCCTCCAACCCTGGCCTTTGATTCACTCTCAAACTCTACCTGATGGACATCCATTTCTCCTTCAGACTTCTCAGCTCTACATTGGTCTCTGTTTCTGCCCACATTATTTGGATCCTTTGACCTTTCTATCTCTATACCCCTTCCCTCTTTCCCTGGACCTGCAACACCTGACTCCTTCAGTGACCCTTGTCCCCACCCTAATTCTATATGGTTGATACTGGTCCAGTCGCTCCTGGTGGTCCATGCTGGTAACAAGATCTACTAACAGCTGGAGTCCTCGCATCCAAACCTGGGCCTCCTCAACACTGTTGGCCACTAGGTCCAGGTTGGGGCGGCGGCCATGAAAGACAACAGTGAAGCCCTGCTCCAAAGGGAACTCTTCCATCAGGCAGCGCAGCAACTCAGAATCATGGCCCTTACGTAGTGTCTCCACATCAGAGATCGAGACTGCCAGAGAAGAAGGTGTGAGCACTGAAGAAAGGAGTCTGACAAATAGCAGGGATTAAGGAGCAATGACCAGAAACCCCTTGTGCTGGAGAGCTTTAGTTGTCAACTTGACATACCTGGATAGAGGGAGCCTCAATTGGTGAACTGCCTCAATTGGACTGGCCTGTGGCCATGTCTGTGGGGCATCATCTTGATTATTGATGTGGGAGGGCCCAGCCCACTGTGGATGTTACCACCCCTGGGCAGGTGGGCCTGTGTTGTATAAGAAAGCAGGTTGAACAGGGGCCAGGAGAGCAAGCCAGTAAGCAGCATTCCTTTATGGTCTGTGCTGCAGCTCCTGCCTCCAGGTTCTTGCCCTGAGTTCCAACCTTGGGCTCCCTCATGATGAACTGTGCCAGGAGATGTAAGCCAAATAAACCCTTTCCTCCCCAAGTTGGATGGGTCATAGTATTTTGTCACAACAGAGAAACACACTAGAACACCCCTTATCCATAAAGACATAAAGAGGAGGAACCTGAGCTTCTGCAGGTTGAATCTTAAAAGGCATTAGGACAGGATAATGCAAACCAAGGGATTCAGGACTCCACCTGAGTCAGCTGTTTTCTTAGGCAGCATAACAAGGAGCCTCTTCTAGAAATGGCAAGACCTGGCTTCCAGCTACCAGCTGGCAGTGTGAAGACGCAAACTTAAACCCGTCAGGGTCTACATCTTAAATGGATAGTCTCCATTCACGGTAAGTCAAAATGGGAACCACAGGAAAATTAGTGGGGATGACAAATGCAAAAACATCTGTAGAAATAGTTACATCAAAGCAGTATGTGACTATACTTCAAGTTTGAAGGTTTCCTCTTTTCGGGCACTAGAAGAGAGCAAGAGAAATTCTTCTACTCCCTTACCTCAGCTGGGGGTGGTATGGTTCATGGGCTTTGATTATTCTATAAATTAGACTGTTTTGTCCTGTGAGCAAATGTTTAGAGATATCATAGAGACTTTGGCCAACAGGATGCACATGATTGTGATGCCTTTTTATACTTAAAAATACTGTAATGGCTAACATTTATGAAATGCATCCAGGTTTCAGAGCTTATGCTAGATGCTTTACACATTAACTCAGACTCACTTTGTAACCCACAGGCAAGTGCAGGTTAACCCTCATTTTTTAGATGAGGAAACTTAATTCAATTAAGTAGCTTATTCAAAGTTATTCAGCCAGAAAGTGACAGAGAAAGGGCTTTAATCCAGACAGGCTGATGTCTGAGACCATAGTCAACATGATCTTATATAATATATACCTATGATCTACTGAGCCTTATGACGTGCTAGAACTATTCTAAGCCCTTTATATGCAGTAACTAATTTAATCCTCATTACAGCTTTACAAAGACAAGTACTAATTGTCATCTATTTGTATAGAGCCACAAGTGGGCCCATGCAGGAGCCCATTAATATAGGACACTGGTTCCTTCTCTGCCCTCAAACTTCTGGGCTCCTCAGAAACTTAACCAGCCATATGCCCACCCACAGTTATCAAAGTCACTCACAGGTGGGCTTGGCTATGCCTCCGGCCTGCCGTGCATGCCAGACTGTCATGCCGTCGTTCTGAAGTCTGAAGTATCTTAGCTTCTTCCAGTTTTTGGATCTCACCTTACGGATCATGGTGCCTTCTTGCATCAGCAGCAGGTCCTGATCAGTGGCTAGCCCTGAGCCAGGAAAAGTAGGAACTAGGTAGCCAGTGGGGAAGGTAGGCAGCCCAGAGAAACTTTGGAACCAGGGTCTAACCTCCTTCCCTTCCCTAGACTTTCCCCTAAGACCTCTTCCCCTGTAGGGTACTCACGGTCTTGAATCTGCGATGCCATCACCCACTGCTCCACCAGCTGGCACTAGAGTCACCTAAAGGAACAAGAAGTAAAAGGCTTTGGGTAAATCCTGGATCAAGGGAACAAGAGAAGGAAATCCAGCATTTCCTTAGTGCTATGGATTAGGTACTTCTAGTCTGTAGCTATTTGTACTTCTAAGTTTGGTGACTCTGAGGCTTAGTCTACAAAACCTGCCTCAATTCATATAAGAATTATGGCTCTGAACTCACAGATCCGCCTGCCTCTGCCTCCTGAGTAGGATTAAAGGTGCCCACCACCGCGCCCAGCTATTTTTGAGTATACTGCTTGCATGTTTGTTTATATATATACATACATACATGTATATATATATACACACACACACATACCTATCTTGGTTATCTTGGTTAGCTATTTCCCATGGCTATCTCCAGGATGGACTAAAGCAAGACATCTGCCAAACACTGTTCCCCACATTCACTAGGTAACCTCACTCCCCGCCTTGCTCATTCCCCACATCCTCATTATCAGGGAAAACTATCTTACGGGCCATCCTTCTCAGAGCCTAGAATCTGTCTATATCCTAGCCTTCTCTTCTCCAGGTACAATCATTCCAGCTCTCTTCTTCCTGGAGCCCTATACATGCTCTTATGTGCATGTGTCAAACTCCTGGAGGGCTACAGCAGAGGTCGGGGGACAACTTATGGGAGTTGGCCCTCTCCCTCTACCATTTGGTTTCTGGGGATTGAACTCAGATTATCAGGCTTGGCAGCAAATGTCCTTACCCATTGAACCATCTTGTTACTCTCTCATGATTTTTAATAGAATAAATAAGTTACACTAGTCTCAGAGTTGCATTTGAAGCTTAACATGGTGATACACACCTGTGATTCCAACACTTGGGAGGCAGAAGTAGGAGGATCAGGCATTCAAGGCTAACCTCAGCAAAACAGCAAGTTCACAGCTTGAGCTATAAGACTCTGTTTTATACCCTCCCTCCAAAATAAGAAGTGGATTTCATCCACTTACTAAAAAAGGGATGCCTTCTATTTAAAAAATATTTTGAGTTTTTGTAATTTTATATAATAGTTCTTTTTTAATTTTTAAAAAAGATTTTATTTATTATTTTTATTTTATGTGTATGAGTAAATTGCTTGTATGTATGTGAGTGCACCCGTGTCATGCAGTGCCACGGAGGTCAGAAGAGGGCTTCAGATTCCCCTAGAACTGGAGTTAAGGACGGTTTGTAGCCACCATGTGGGTGCTGGGAATTGAACCCGGGTCCTCTGCAAGAGCAGTCAGTGCTCTTAACCATTGAGCCATCTTTCCAGCCCTTTTTAAATTCTTTTCTTCTTTTTTTTTTTTTTTTTCTGAGACAGGGTCTCCCTGTAGCCCCAGCTGGCCTGGAACTCATTTTGTAGGCTAGACTGGCCTTGAACTCACAGAGATCCACCTGCCTCTGCCTCCCGAGTGCTGGGATTAAAGGCATCTGCCACCAACACTCAGCCGACTTTTTAAAATATTTGATTTATTGTTTTTATTTGATGTGTATATGTATATTGCCTGCATGTAGGTAAGTGCACCCGTGTCGTGCAATGCCCACAGAGGACAGAAGAGGCTGTTGGATCCCCTAGAACTGAAGTTATGAACAGTTGTTAGCTGCCATGTGGGTGCTGGGATTCAAACCTGAGTCTTCTGCAAGAACAGCCAGTGTTATTAACTGCTGAGCCATCTCTCCAGCCCCTATATAATTGTTCTTAAACAAATTTAGGCCCCCTCCCCCATCCATCCCTCTGGGATGCCTTCTTTAAAATACATACGCTGTCCAATTTGAGAACTAATTAAGATGTCCTGGTAGCTAATAACAAATTTCCCTTAGAACTAGATTTCATATGTGACTACTTTGCTTCTGGTTCTGCCTACAGATATACTCAACTCTTTTTGTTTGTTTGTTGGTTTGTCATTTTTTGGTCTCTGGTATCCCAGGCAAGCCTCGGCTGTCTATATAACTAAGGATGAACTTGAACTCCTGATTCTCTTGCTTCTAGCTACCGAGTGCTGGGATCACAGGTGTGAACACCATGCCCAGCATTATGCCCAACTCTTGATCAGACTGTGCTGACACTAACAAAGTTCATAAAGTGTAAGTCTCTGAGCTTTTGTATGAGCTAAAGACCCACACTTGACTAGAAAGGTATTGTGGGGGGCTGGAGAGATGGCTTAGCAGTTAAGAGCACCGGCTATCCTTTCAGAAGACCCAGGTTCTAATCCCAGTACCCACAAGGTGGCTAACAACCATCTGTAACTCCAGGGGATCTGATGCCTTCTTTGTCCTCTGTGGGCACTGTACAACACAAGTGCACTTACATACATGCAGGCATAACACTCATGCACATAAAAATAAAATAAAAATGAAAAAAAGAGGGCCAGGCATGGTGGTGCACACCTTTAGTCCCAGCACTTGGGAGGCAGAGGCAGGTGGATCTTTGTGAATTCAAGGCCAGCCTGGTCTACATAGTGAGTTCAGGTCAGCTGGGACTACAGGGAGACCCTGTCTCAAAAAGACAAAAAAAAAAAAAAGTATTGTGATTGTTAATTTAAAAGTTTAAATTTAATAGTGATAAACTTGTAAAAAAAATTTTTTTTAATCTGCAAAGCAGCTGGGTGTGGTGGCACACGCCTTTAGTCTCAGCACTCAGGAGGCAGAGGCAGATGGATCTCTGTGAGTTCAAGGCCAGCCTGGTCTACAAAGAGAGTTCCAGGCCAGCTGGAACCACAGGGAGACCCTGTCTCAAAAAGACCAGGAAAAAAAAAATCTGCAAAGCAGCCAAGCCTGGTGAAGTATACTTGGGAGGTGGAGGCAGGAGGATCTAGAGTTCAAGGCTGGTCTTGAGTTCCAGGCTAGCCTGTGCTACAGGAGACCCTGGCTCAAAAAAAAAAAATCTGTAAAGCAATAATTCAGTTAGCATTACATTTAAATAGTATGCAATTCAACTCCTGAATTTTACAGATGAAAAAACAGAAGTCTAGGATGGGATGCAACTTGTGTAAAGTCATAAGGCATATTAGAATCCTATCTGTCTTCAATGAGAAGACCTATAAAGTCATTA